GTGTGTGCATGCACTGGGTGCTGCTTTATGTGGAGCTCGGTTCTCTGGGGGTGAAAAGACAGATGAGGGTGCAGAGCTGGGATGAGGCCACAATATTTCATCATAGACAGTATAGAACTAGGGCTGGATAAATTGTTTAAAATAATCATCATCATATGACTATCCTTTGGCCGACAGCATATAATACCACACGCACGCTACATGATGTTGTCATTAATTCTGAAGCTTCACACTGGTCTCCCTCTGCTCATGTATTTCATGTAATCTACAAAACACATCACATCACAAGGATTAGGAATTGAAGTATTCCCAAAGGATTAACCTCCTCCTCTGGCCTCCTTACTGCACCTTGCACTGTGGAATGTCCTCTCAGCAAATCAATGGCAGCCTTTTCCGAGACTCGCAGTGTCCACCTTGCAGTGTGGAATGTCCTAATCCACGGAGAGGGATGCTTGAGTGCTTATAACCACAGGAACACCTTTCAACACTGCATTAAAATAAAAAACCCACCCCCCTCCCCCTTTACACTTCTCCCAAAACCATTAATTTTTCTCCATTGTTCAACAGAAATACAAAGGTCAACCAACTATTTGTTTTCAAATCTTTGGAGGTCATTCAACATGGCTTTAAGGCAACCAGTAAAAGTCTATCAGATCCACTGGATCTCTTTGTTGACGCATACAGACCACCTGCTGCATGACAAAATGCCTTACACTACATTTTCACTTCCCTCTCACCAAGAAAGATAGCAAGCCTCCTCCTGGTGCATCACAGATAGAGGAGAAACAAAAAGAAAATCGGGACAGACGCCAATCTTCCGCCCATCAGACACCAATCAGAGCCTCGCAACCTGCTGGCATCCCTCTGGAGGACTGAGATCAGTATCTGGCAGCATGCTGGTTGTCCAGGAGCAGGCAGCCTGGTGGCTGTCACCCAGTGCCCAGAGAGAGACATCCTCTTAGGGCTGGGACAAAGGTGGCCGGTCCTCAGGGATTACCCATTAGCATGCTAGTTTGTGTGTTTAACACTGGCCTGAATGGAAAGGACAAGAGCCAACACCCCGGTCTATTCTTAAGCAGGGAAGTGTTACTGTTTCAGCTGCTAATGCTGGTCTGACTTCTGCATATATGTGCATAAATGCATATATATTAGGAATTTTTGTTTCTATCGGTATGCTGTCTGACTTAATGATAACTCTGCTTTATTTTTAAGGGGGAACTGGATAGTTTTAAAGTTACGTACAAAAAATTATAAATGCATGTTTTAATATTTATGAACTAATCCAATAGAATTTAAAAGACTACATGTAAAGAGGCCTTTACATTTGTATATGATGAACATGTCCTTGACTTTTCTTTTGAATGGCCTATGAACTTGTACTTTTTTTGTTTTGACTATCAGACTGTGACATACACTGATTCAGGAGCAGAAATGCATGTTGTCTGCTGCAAGAAGTGCATATTTTTCACTTTTTCACATTTACGAGAATCTGTCCTATTCTGAAATTTATTGTAGCGTGTGAATAGGAGCAAGACAAGCCAGGTGGCAGTTCAAAGTATTGCTGATTTTTTCACTCAGAGAAAAAAGCTCATTTCTGAAAGGTCATTCAGCTATCTGTGCATTTAGCATCATCATAGTCTTTCTTTTCCTGCTTGTGTGTTAGACTAATGATGTGGAAAGACGCCTGTATGGAAATGTGTATTTGCGATTGTGTTTTGGTGTGTATGTGTGCCGACGATTGTGTGAAATGGTCCTCTTTTCCGACTGCAGTGTGTGCGATTATGTGCTCAGCCTTGCTGGCTAGTGGTTGATAATCACACTAGACGCCGTGTGTTTGTGAATCTCTTAGCTGAGGAGATTCCCACCGTGCTCAGTGTGTCTGGCCTCTGTGTGTTTTTGGGGTTGCACGCGTGACTCCGCCAGCTGTTCTATTCTCCTGTTGGCCCCCTCAACCCCACACAGCCCTTGTCCTTCGCCGACCCCTCCTTCCCTCAGAGGCCTGCTCTTCATCTGATAAGGGCTCCACTGGCCAAACCCTCAGCAGAGCTCCTCAGAGCTGCTCCTGCTAACAATACGCCCTCCTTCCCCTCTGTGCGCACACCATTTACATGTGAAAACACTGGGTCTTATCTTCAGTTCACTGGAGCAGTGGCACAACAGCCAAGTAAGTGTGCGTGCTCGTGTATGTGCGAGCAAAAGTGGCCCTGGGAGAATTGCATGAATCCAAGCAAAATGAACAGTAAACACTTACGTGACTAAATCCATATTTATATCCCTCCTTCATTTTCTGATATAATGTTATTAGAAATTAAATAAAACATAAAATATAGAGTAACCTCATCAGTCTCATCTAGTGCTAGCTGAAAGAATGAACGTCTTTATTACAAGTGGGATATAAGCCAGATTTCATCACACTTGCACTGTTTCCAATAGCTGAGAGCTATGGTAATGCTAAATGAAAGACCCTCAAGAGAGTAAAACTACTTTCTGGCTCATCTCCTTGGAATGCTGCCATGGTATCTGTTAACAATGCTTCTCATCTACATGAACATTAACATCGCCTTTCTCCTTACTACCATCATAACAGCCAACCCAGTTTCTAAACATAGTCCTCTTCCTGTCATTCTTTGCATCGTCTTCACTGTTCTTACTCCACTGACCTAATATATTCACAGGGATGGCCTCCGCTGATCCAGCCACACACTATTCAGCAGCCTATGCAGAAAGTCCAGATTTCCTCTTATTCACCGGACAGAAAAAGAGAAGTGTGCAGGGTTTTAATTAAAGGTCTGTGTAGTTAAGGGCTTGGGCTAAGCAAACATGGGCCTCCAGCATCACAGTTTAAGATGAGGTAAAGGAGTGCGGGGTGATCAGAGTATAAGCGGCTTGCAATGAAAGGGGGAGGAGGGGGCAGAGGAGAGAAAATGAGAAAGGGCAGAAAGATAAAAACTGAGAAGAGTGGAACAAAGAACAATTAGGAATCAGGGAGCAGGTAGAACGATGGAAAGGACAGGAGAGGGCCGAGTGCTGTGAAAGATGGTATCAGGCTATCTGTAAAGCGGATATTAGGGTGGGAGGGGCCAGATGAAACGGGGGCTTTGAGGGATGTTGCAATAAAAATTGAGGTGGCTAGGGAGATAATATTTGTTTTGTACCCATTAAATTATGTGTAACCCATTTGGATACTTGCCATGAACACAAATCATCTGACGGTGTAAGTTTGAATTTTGTTTTTATCAAGCAATACATAAATAGCTGTACGCACACACGAACACAGCCACACAAAACAATATTTGATACGTATGCTAATTTGGCAGAACAGAAATCAGCTTCTGCACAGGCTTGAGGTTTTTTCATTATGGTGAAATGCTTCCATCTGTTGGTAGAACTGCGACATTGCGTGACTCCGCGCAGCTGCCACTGAGGCATTCGAGAAAGTAGTAAAGGAAATCAATACTTGTGGGCAGAAGAGCACTGACTCATGCTAACCACTCACCAACCATCTCTGACAGACAGAGGTTGTTTGAAAAGGTTAAAAAGATACAGCAGCAGAAACAACCTTCGGGGTGGGCCATTTACTGTTACGGTTTGCAAATTATTTTAAACTGTTGCAGGCTTTGTTGCCTCAGTGCTTGGTATTTATCATGTGATTTTGTTGTTCACTGGTTGCTAAGGGGAACGGCCTTACTTTGAGACTGCCCCCCAAAATACACGGTGAGTGGCCTGAATATATCGAACCTAAGAGAATCCATAAGTAGATAAATCAGCAATAAAAGAATTAACATTGTATCATTGTTGAAATTGACTGTCAGTAAAATTCCTTTATTTTAAATAATAAAAGCATTTTAGTTACCAATCCTCTTCACCTGACTATTTGTAAAACCACGTCATCAAAAACGCTGATTTGATTAAAAAAAAAGATAATGGTTCTTGTTATTAAAAAATATATCATTAATATATTTCATTATTGCATCCCTTTGCTATGTTAGTTGCCCATTTTAATAGAAAAAATAAGAGAAAGCTGAAGTTTCGAAAGCTGTTTGCGTCTGTGAGCAGTTATATTTTATTAGATCAATTAAAAAAAAAATTAAAACAAAATACTGGCAGCTGTCAGCGCTACCCCTCAGCCTCCTAGTCAACACACCTGTGGTGCAAATTTCAAAATCCCACGTTATTTACAAACCCGCCCAGTGGGGTGACCACAATACCCCATCAGCCTTGTACATTTGAGAGTTAACAATCCTTATTAATCATAATAAGTTAACAGTTGAATGTAATATGTAAGATTACTGTCCCAACTGATTTACAAAAAAGTGGTCCAGATTACCTGAGGTCACCTCACTGAAGTGCTGCACAATTTCATGTACTTTATTCTGGACAGAGAACGTGGAACATGGAGCTTCCAGGGAAAGTTTATGATTTCAGGATGAGATGATATTTTTTTAAGTTTTATGTGTGTGCGACACAGAGATTGAAAAAAAAAAATGTTTGAATCCTGGATGAGGAAGTTGAATCTTGGACGAGGGTGTCTAGTGATAATGGCCAAAACATCCGATGAATCCAAGGTCCACTACTGACGATGTGTCCCAAATCTTAATATGATAACCTAGATCAGATCTCTAATCCCCCCAAAAATGGCAGATTAGCTTGGGTAAAAGACTGAAAGTTGAGGCACACAACGATGTGTGCTGCTGGTAAAGTTTGTGGGCTGCCTTTTCTCATTACAGCCATCCCTCAAGATTCTCACCATTTAACGCAATGCATTATCAGGGACTACAACATCTAGTCCTTTTACTGAATTACTACATCTAGCTCATTATTGTGCTATTGTACTGTTACACTGTGGTATGTTGCTTTTACACTCTATCATCCAGATGATAATAACATTATTATCAACACCTGTATTTAAAAAAAAAAAATTTAATGTCATAATGACTATTGTGACTCATGACAAATAAATATATAAGAATTGCATACAAAAAAGCCATACACGTAATATCTGAGTCAGAAATATTTATATCATTTCCAATGTACAGAATACAAAGGGTAAAAAGATCATCATGGACCACTTCACAAATATGTATGAGAACAAATGAGAAATAAAAAGAGAAACTGAGATATAAACTGAATCGTCTAACTGGTACAATCTGTCCTGAGAACCATTTTCCAGTTTTACAGCAATAACATGAATTCTGCTTTACCCAATAAACCTTTGCATGTTCTGATATAATAAAGTTACAGGCATAATAAATGTTCCTTTGGAGGGAAATAGGTTTTTATAATGACTATCTTTGGTTTGATTGTTTTTTATTTTTGTACCTGCATCATCACTGCTGCCTCTAGGCGAGAACTAAAAACTTAATTTCACTGTTACACATTCATCTCCCACTTTTAAACTCCAAGTAGCCTTCTACTTAAAATAGATAACTTTCTCTATTTTTTACACATACATATGTATGCATGTGTGTGTGTGTGTGTGTGTGTGTGTGTGTGTGTGTGTGTGTACAGTGTTGAACAAACCATTTGAAATGAATAAAAGAGCATTCGGATATGAATTTTGTGATTCTAATACTACTGAGGATGAATTTTCTGAATCACAAAGTTATATAAATTCATTACATTTTGGAAGACAGCGTGTTCTTAAAAGGTTGTCTGACAGCTTATTGTTGAATACCACAAACAAAGAAGGCACTAGCATAAAATAAGGCCTCAACACAATTCTTTGTATTTTCTATTTCTTTGTGTTTACATAAAATACTTACAGGCCTTCAGATAGAAATGCATTACCAGCAGGGTGGTTCTTTTGCTTAGAGGAATTATTTATGAAACTTAATACTTACATAACTTCTGCTCTTCTAACTATATAACTTATATAATCTATATAATTTCTAACTCTGGTCCTCTTCACATTTTCAGCTGGAATTTAACCAAATGACAAGAAACAGTGAACAAACAAATACTGAAAGGAAAGAAACAACCTCCACTCATCTTTAACAAATATCAATAAAATCCTATTAAAGAATCTGCAACTGTTAATATTTATCACTAGCCATATTATTAGTTCATGTTTCACATCAGCACTTCAATCAGATAAAAACTCTCTCTCACTGAGCCGCTCCCGTTTGCCACAGCTACATGGGATTCTGTTAAGTCTCTGAAATCTTCTCAGCAGGATAGATTTGATCTATTATTAGAGTATTTTGCAGTTGAATCGAAAATAAAAGTCAGACATTGTAGACACGAAATCTAAAATTGAGAGGGGAGTGTCGCAAAGTGCTGCACGACTCTGACTTCGCTCTCCAAGTGCTGCAGAAAAGTAACGCACAAAGACAAATATCACCACTGACACACAACATTACATGTTAATGAATATGTTGATGAAATAGCTCCTACTTCTTTAGAGATACAGTTTGTGGTCACTGGTAGGTAATATACACAGTAATTCTTCAGGGGGAGAATTCAACCAAACTAGTACAGCTGTGATCCCAGCAGGGGGCGCCAACACACAAGCTCAGTCCACCAGGGAGAGCTGTTCTTCAGTGATATGTCAGCAACAAGCTGAGGTCACTGTTCAGCCTGTCAGTCCTTGTTGAATCACCTCAAGCGGGTCTTTGCTGTGGACTGTCCTGGCATCATGCTGCCCTGCAGCCTGGTCCTTGAGTCCTGCAGTCTTTAAGGTCCATCAGTCTCCACTAAAGCAGCTACAGCTGGGCCGACTCCTCTCCGGAGCAATCGCTCGGCCGCGTGCCTGTGGCCACAGTTCTGGGTGTTGAGGGGGTGCAGGGATGAGCCGCGGGGTGGCTCACGGGGTCCTGTGGGGCCTCATATTGAGGAAGCTCGCCTTCTGAAGAAAGCTCTCCATCTTGGAGGTAAGGGGGCGGAGGGAGGTCAAACCAAGGAGGTCGACTAAAGACAGAGAAGAAACATTACACTGGGTTGTACAATCGTTTCTGTGCCAGCGATCAAGAGCAAGGAAAAAGAACAAAACAGGATGTATTCTCCCATCTGAGAATATAATGGAGTTAAGTAAGAACTATTTTGAACTGAAGTTTCACCTTTTCTCATTTAGTTTCCATTAATATGAATAATTATGCAATTGTTTAGTTTTTTTCCACCGTTTGAAACAAGAACACTGAGTGTCTGTTAAAAGAAAGCAAACTTCCTTCTTTTTATCAGGATCTCATTACTATTATTTTGCCATTTTAGCAAATGTTCTCTTTTTTGGAGCTAATATCTGAGCAGGAACATTTGTGTTTAATAATAAATGAGTATACAACAGTTACACGATTGTTCATTGCAAATAACATAAAAGCACTCGTGGGAAGCATGCTGACAGATTTCTGATTGAAAGTAGATCATAGTTTGATAGAACAGCACATTTGAGCACTGCTATTTCTTTTCATTTTTCTTTTTGGATCAGTCTTAGGTTACAGTGTGAAAATGTAGAAATATGTATACAGACACTAGAACTATTTGTTCATCTCACCTGACATCTAGAACAGCTTGTGAGTATGATGGAGGGGAATCCATGGAAGGTGCTGAGGGATACAGGGTCCCAGACAGTAGCTGCAGAGCTCGAGGTGTTGAGCTGTATTGACCGGTTGTGGTGGGTGAGCCAGGGGAGAGTGCCGGACCTCCAGTGTGTAAGTGTCCTCGGTCCAAGATGACCAGACGGGACAGCAGCAGGGGCTGGTGATGGTGGTGGGTATGTGAACTTCCTCGTACGCCTCTGGGCAGCAGAACGCTGCGTTTTCTCTGGTGATGGAGAACCAAAGCCAGCAAGGCTACCACAAGGACAAAGATGACGGTGCTGCCGATGACAGCGTAGGTGATGCTAGGGTAGTAACGCAGGCGATAGTCCAGTGTCACAAAGTCCTGGCCAGGAGCTTCTGTGCAAGAGAGGAAGGAAATGAAGAGCAAACTAAGGATGCATAATGTAGGTGGATGAGAAAAAAAAAAGGATTAGTGGTGCTGAGGGACTCAGAGGGGAATGGAGGAAGGAAGGATGTAGAGGAGGAGGAAGAGGGGAATTTAATTTAAGGAAGATGAGTTGTGGTGTTGGAGAGCCAAGGGAATGGAGAAGGGAGTAAAGGAGGCAGGCATGAATATCAAGCAGTAAATTGTTTTTAGGTTCATTTGGAAATGTATTCTATGTGATTCAACAGCGGCAGCCTCTCCTGGAGATGAGAGTGCTAAGCAATACGCATAAAGCAGTCAAACTCACCCTAAGAGCTCCAAGAGACAAAGAGAACAAATCAACCATGGTGCACCAGTGCAGAGGCTACTTCTAAAGCCTGGTTCATAAACAGGGACTCTTTAGTATGACAGAAAAAGAAAGGAGAGGGAAGCTAAATAATTCATAGTGAGGGCAAAACAGCTTATAGCATTTTTAGATAAAATGCAACTTGAAGATGAGAGCGGGCAGCGAAACACCAGGGGCCGTCACACTTTGCCATGTTTGTCCCAGGGAGATGCAGAGTTTGCAAACTACTCAAGAGTCCAGTGAACCTAATGTTCACAATGAGAGCTGGAGCCAAACACACAAGCGCAGAGCAGCCTACCTGCTGCATGAAATGAGGAAAAGGATGACAGTAAGGCTACAGGGCACTGCAGCTTATTATTTTAGATAGGATGAGGAAGGGCCGCTTAAATATTTCCGCTGACTGATATTACAGTGTGAGAATTTCAATCAGGCGTCGGGATGGGGCTCATGTAAATGGTGTTTCAGCTTACCAGCTGACTGTACTGTTCTATTAAGGAGAGGCAGCAAGAGAGTCGAAAGAAATCTATTTATTACAGAGCTGCAGAAAGGATGTGCTGAGGAAAAATGACTATATCTAAGTATTTTACAGTTGCTATTTCACTTCAAATTACACTAATGCTAACTAAGGCTGTGAATATCAAACCTTAAAGTTCAAAATACTTTCCTCGTTCTCTGCTCAAGGTTTCCATTTGCTACTTAAAAGGCCATGTGCATTAAAGCCTAGGAAACTAACTTCTTCGTCCACAAGCCATCATGCAGACAGTTGAGGCTATTGCCCAGATAGCTTGCCAGGAAATGACCATTACAAGACATCTTAAGGTCAAATCAATAGTCTGAAAGTGCTTCTAACTGTAAGGATTAGATCCGCAGAAAGTGCAAGGTAAGGCAAGCCTTTTTTGGAGCTTTTTGAAGTATTCCATGCTTATACAGACTTACAGGCTCTTGAGGGATATTGTGTTTAGTACAGAGTAGAGATCTTCTCCGCATTTATGAGGTAGAGGTACAGAGACCCAGAGAACAGAACCACGAAAAGCTCAAAGTCAACTAACGTGAGTCTTTCATAGTGATTATTATACCAGCTAAGATGCTTATGAAATGGAAGTCCACTTTCTGATTTCATCTGCATCAATTTACACACTACTAATATGCAAGGAAACAGGAACATGTGTAAACCATCGGACTAACAAATGCAAGCTTTCCAGTTCAGTCCCAGGAGGATCTGCCACATCAAATATGTGGCGCTCCCTGCTGTGGTAACCTCTGGTGAATAAGTGAGCAGCTGAAAGTAAGGACGGAAATTCAAATCATGCTATGATTCCAATGTGTACACAAAGGGAAAGTTCTACATTTTTGGAGAGGGGACAGCTTGAAGCAGCAAAAAATTAGAGCCTGACAGATATTTAAGGAACCTGAAGGACATTTTTCAGGATTTTTAAGGCTGATATTGATACTGCACAGTTTAAAACCTTCACATTCAGGAACACTGGATGATATTTGTATATTATATTTTATCAGTTAACATTTGGAGTTTGTATTTGTTTATTTAATCATTTACACGCATATTGGCCGATATTAACTATCTGTATCTGCTTTTATAATGCTGAAAAAAGAAATTTTATTTAATTTAGAAAGTAAGGAAAAAATGTGAAAGTTCTGATGTTCCAGTCTCTGCAAACAATTTTACAGCAATTTTCTTGTATGTTTTAATATAGGATCCAAAACAGGAAACATTTTTTAACTTCTATACTAGATTTGAATGTAAACTAAGCCTACTATTGAATTGTGTTTTTATATTTACTCTTTACTCTTAGACTGCTGAACACAGCCAAAGCTGCAGCTGTAAGAATAAAAACTAAAAATGCCTTTTAAGCATTCATTTACTAAAATACTAAATTATGATCCATCACAGTCCTTATCTTAAAGACAGAGCTGTGACACTGATAAATCTGTTAACTTATACAGTTTTCTTCCCCCAAAAAAGCTTTGACTAGGCTGGACTTTATCAAAGTAGCAGCTCTGTTCCAGTTCCAGTAATTGTGATTGGTCAAATGGTGCCAGCACCACCCCTTTCATGTGAACACTCAGAAGAAACCCTTATGAAATTAGGCTTCATAATAACTTAATAATAATAATACAGTTTTGTGTGGCTGCTTATCCTGATTCCTAATGTTAAGGTCAGTAAACCAGATAATGGAAAGAAACCCAGAGTGTAATGAAATCACCTCATAGCACAAAGCGCTAGCTGCCTCAGCACATGGACACAATAAGTTTTGACTGATTGAAAGCAAGTACAAATCATCACTGTGCAACACACAATAAAGCATAACGCTATGAGAAACATTTTTTTACAACCAAATTTTATTCTGATTTAACTGCTACATAACATTAAGATATATTTATGCCTCTAATCAGAAGAATTGTTTGTTTTGACAAACCAGCAACCTTCTGTCGAGACAGAAGATGGTTTTCAGCTTCCATTCTCTCTCTTCCAGACACCAAGCTGCAGGTTTCCTCTGCCTACCTGACCTTGAAGGCCCAGGGGAACCTCTGCAGTGTGTGCGTGTTTGTAAGTGTGCTCACACATACTGCTGAATTCCCATCAACCAGCCTGGCATACAGCCTATTTGTGAACCAGCGTGTATAGTCAGGGGCCCCATGCCTTAATTAAATCTAATCTAATTCAGATGCTCCACCCGCCTGCTACCCAACCAGACACCAGCAACTAAAACAAGCCCCCTCGACCCCTCCCTTGTGATTTTTAAATTGGCCAGTCCTTCACGCTACCAATTAATTATGAACTGGACTCGGTAGAGAAAGGCAAAAACAAAGAAGAATCATTTCCATAATTACCTATTTAAAAAAAAAAGAAAAAAAGGCGCAAATAAAGAGATCCCACCACTGCCAAACTATGCTGCCTATCGGGTTTCAGTGCAGCCTTCTGGGAGCAGAAAGAAACATACACAAAAGAAACTCATATTGCTGTAACATTAACAATGGGAGCCTATTTGGTGCATTAGCGGCAGAGGTCTGAAAGGCTGTTCAAATCACACAGGAGATAAAAAGACAGGGAGAAAAGAGGGTGAAGCAGAGACCCTCTCTGTCAGGGGGAGAGAGAGGGGGATGGATCCTGTGTGGCAGCGCCCCCACCTCCCACCCCATACTGTGTGCGTGATTGAGCCCTGCTGCCTATTCTGTATGGTTTAGTTGAAGTTCTGGTACAAAGAATGGTGTCATCATCACATGCAGAGATAGGTGAGCAAGTCTCATCATCAAAATGGAATTTTTGATAAGCTCTGTAATGATGCTGGAGCAACACGATACAGCACTTCAATAAATATCTATAGTCAGTGCAACACGGTGGATCTGAAACCAAATTATTTGTAAAAATATTCTAATAAATGATATAAAATGAGACACAAGGTCATTATTTACATGAATAAAAACATCTTGTCTGCGCTGTGCCTGTGGACTCTGCTGTGTGTTAACTTGCTGCCAGACTGAAGAGAGAGCGAGAAGGCACAGCTGGTATCTGTGCATCAATACTCCATTTATTTTTGATGACAGTGACTGAGTCCCAGTCAAACTCCCATTCTTTACAGACACACAGTCACAGCACACGGGATATAATTATTTGCTTTGATCTGTAAAGCTTGCTATTATCTGCCCGTAAACCTAATTTCTGTGAGGAACAAGTTCACACATCTAGTGCAAAATCTAGTGCAGTCGTTTATTATATAGGATACTGCAAAGACTTTCGGCACCATAGACATTCAGATTTGTAAACATCCAGTGGCACAAGGTAGAAAACTACCTTATTTGTCTGTGTCTATATGTCATGTCGGGTCTTACACTCCACCTTTCTGGGAACTCCCAGGCCCTCCAAAGGCCTATCTCCCCTCACCACACTCCCTGCCGGTAACTGATGCCCTCAGGGGTTGGTGCGTTGGTGGTTCTTGGTGTCCGGGCTGGGCGCTCAGGTATGTACCAGCTCACTCCCGGTGACTACTTGGCGGTGCCTGTTGCTCAGGCCTCATCCGGGGCAAAGGGGGCCCTCGGGCCTCCGGCCTCTGGGCCTGCGGCTCGGTTCACTCTGGCACAGCTGGCTGCTGGCAGAGCCGGCTCCATGCCTGCTTCATGCCCTGGGGGACAAGGCTCTCTACATCCTCTAGCAGACCATTACATGGGGAAACAGGTGTGCACACGGGTGTTCACTGTTCATAGACATAAACTACACCTCTATTGGCTGCTATTTCCAAGCACAATGTGCGCTGTCGGACCTGCTTGCTACACAACAACATTCAATATTTAGTATTTACTGCTGTTTACACTTAGCTAGATTAACGTGATGGTGTTGTGTTTAGTATGTTGCTCTGTTTTTTTTTTTGCTTGTTTTCTCTTCTTTTTCTCTCAACAGGTGACCCAGGAGATTTTTTTTCTCTTCTTTCTCTTTTTAAGTGCCCTTTCTCACGGTCCCTCTTCCCTTCTGTTTTTCTTTTACTTCATCTTTCTTTCTCCCTTTCCTATCCCTCAGTCATGTCTGTCTGTAACAACTGAAAATAAAATAAAATAAATAATAACAACAAAGGTCGATCAAATGGACCAATACGGCAAGGCCGTGATGATCCA